AATATATTTTTCATATTTATATGCAATCACTAGCTGTAAATTACATGAGAAATAATGCTATTTTTGATATCTAACAAAAAAGCCAAATATATGCCTTTTTCTTTATGTTTTTTTCTTATGGGAAAAATAGAGCGCAGTGTAGAACATGCATAATTTTTATGTCACTAATAAGTATTGCATAGATACATTTTTGGTAAAAATATAAATCTTGTTCTATGCTGCGCTCTACATTTTCTGAAAGAAAAACTGCTTGAAAATAAGCAGTTTTATACAAAATATGCTAAAATGGCTTGAAAACGTGATTTTTATGATGTCATATTTCTAAAATAACGGCATTTCGATCAAAATGAAAATTACCAATAAAGGTCGCACATATAGCTGTACAAATTAATGCTATTTATAAATTGAAATTAAGATATCCATTTTAAGGGGCCAATTGAGACACTTACCATATATCGCTCTTTATTTACAAGTTATTTAACTTCAATTTAACTTAAATTCAGGCAAAAAAATTAAATATTTGTATTTAATGTCTAAAGCTTACAATCTGTGGTGTATCCAAAAATCGCAATTAAATAATATAATCTTAGGGGGGAAATGCATGTAGAAGACCAGGCGGAAGAAAGGGACAAAGAAATCGGCTATAACAAATTTCAAAAGTTTAACATGATAGAATAATCATGAATATATAGTTCAGGTAAAATAAATTTCCTGGAAAGAAACCTAAATGATTTTTAATGTAATAGCACTCTGCATTGTAATTCGTGTAAACCATGTCAACAGAAGATGAATCTACTACAACTGCACATGTTTTTGTACGTTTACGCCGCATAAGCTCTTACTAATATGTACATGTTAAAATTTATGTATCAGATACTTAAAACATCGTATTAATTAACGAACATTGAATGAATAAATTCTTTTTTCTTTACAATCATACAAAACATAAAAAAATAATAAACAAATATTAAAATAGTGAAATGCGACTTTCTCGACAAAATAATTATGAATCATTGCTATAAGACTTTGTGTGTACTGTTTCTAACAATAATTTAAAATAGGTTTAAGTCGGCAAATGAATTAATAAACCCTGAAAATAATTATAGACTTAGTCTCCTCCTCATAATAGGCATATTTGAAGGGCGGAATGTTGAAAGTCCGTAACAAATTTATTTAATTATTAGATAAATAATTAGATAAATTAAATGGTAGTTTTATGTGCCAAAAATGTGAAGAACGGGCTATAAGCTTAAATTAACTTTGTTGAAATGTAGGATGGCCCAGAGAATCTACAGATGTCAGATTTGTCCACAGACATCCATTACGTTAATTCACTTGATATCACATATGAATAGTCATGTGTCTAGCACAGAAAAAATCTGCATTATCTGCAGGAAGACATTTAGTCAAAACCAAAATCTTAGGCTCCACATGAAGGATCATGCAGACAAGAAAGGCTTCTCTTGTAAGTTTTGTATTAAAAAGTTCACTTGTTGTCATCAGCTTGATATTTAATCAGTTACATTACAACCAAGAACTTCATTGATGCATGTCACATGGACTTTGATAAATATCACCGATTTGTTCTTCACAAGGAAAAAGATCTCAAAATGCAGAAAAGGAAATCCTGTTCAAAGAAAAAACTCAGCACGCTATGAATCCTGGGAGTCAATCAGAATCATTTACGTGTGCCGTCTGCAGGAAGAAATTTAGGTACAAAAAATGGTTGGACCATCATCAAACAACATTTCAGGACTTGAAGCACAAGAGATTTTGCATTGTGTGTGGAATAATGTTCAAACTACCAACAACGTTGAGAAAGCACATGAAAACTCACACAAAGGCACCGAAAAAATCGAGAAGGTCTTTCCTTTGTCAAATCTGTGGTAAGCTTTTCAAACAAAGTTTAGTTATGTGGGGCCATATAAGAGTCCACACTGTGAAAGAAATTGTAAACCCTGGGACACTAACGCGCCCCCCTGACAGGAGTTCTGTGCACGAGTGTGGTCTGTGTGTCAGGGTGTTCTCTAAGAAAAGTTACTTGCTGATACACAGGAAGGTACACGAAAGGCCCGACACTCAAAAATGTCAAGTCTGCAACGCAGTGTTTGGTAGTCTGGGTGCCCTGAACCGCCACAAGCGTAATGCACATGTACATCAACATATAAGCAGATGGAATTGAAGTGATTGAAGTCTTGCAAAGGTGTAAAAATCAGATATGTGCATACCATTATGTGAAAAAACGATTCTCAAAGGAAAATAAAATGTATATGAAAAGTAATTTTATTTGTAGGTGTACAAAAACTTGTTCTGTGTCTTAAAGTAATACAATTTTTTAAACTTGATTTTTTTTTATTTTCAACTTTGCTTTTCTTAAATCAATTTTACAATCTTGCAGATTTCTGTAGATGCTAAATGAGTACAAACACTATATATTATTTAACTAGGTTACACAAATGTTAACATATCGTTCACTGTTCTAATGTTAAAGAGTTAGAGCCACTTTGGGCATTATTTGACCCTGAGAATTTCTGAAAATTCAAAACCGCTCAGTTTAGGTTGCAAATGCAGTATTTATCACTTGGACTGTTGGTGACCACGTATCTATTAATTGTGACGTAATTTCACATTTAGTCAATGCATTATGACGTCATAAAATGCGTCATTTTCCTCATATCCCGTAAATTCCTTTGAAAATGACCTACATTTGAAGCGTTTATTCAATATTTCATATAGAGCACAACCTCTGATCAAAAATATGCCAATACATAATGAAAGGCCTATATCTGAAGATCAAAAAACATGTTTTATTTTTTGAATCGTGGGCTGTGCTCATATTTTAATTGTTTGCTGAAGGTAGTCAAATACGCATATTTTTTGCAAATTTGAAGAACATTGCAATTTCTCAAAGCCTGTTTTCAAATATTTGGATTCTCAAAACGAAATTTCATTATAGAACATGAAAGCACCAAGTGTCTACTTTATTTTGATATATGAAAATGGAAAGAGGGTGATAGTTAATTAATTGATATAAGTACAGGGCCATTTTATGCATAAGATGGCTCTTCCTCTTATCTCAGGTGTAACTTGTTTTGTTGGAGGTATATGCTTGTATCTTTATAATACAATGTACATGATTGGGACCTTTGAAAGCTTTTGCTAGAAGTCATAAAGTTTATTGAAAGGTCAAGATAGTTAGAGAAAATTTCAGTACACATTTTCAAAATTTATTTTAATGAAATTTGAGGTTAATATTTGAAGTTGTTGTCCTCCATTTTCACTGAAAGTGGGGAAATCTTAATCAGGGTCTGTCTGTATTTCTGTCTGTACTCTCTAATACTTTCCAAGAGGCTTTTGAGCTTTTAAAATAGAATGCTCTTTGCTGAAGGAAGTCCCCTATTTATTTTGAGGTACAGAGGTCAAGGTCATTAGAACAATTCCCAGATAAGCTTGGAGTTTTAGAAAGGCATGGCCTTTTGATGCTACATAATTAGCCTCTGAGATTTACACAGTTTTCCCTCACTGTTGAAATATACGTAGGATAAAAATTCAGGTGAATGTCAACTGGTGTGTCAAATAGCCAATTACAAGTTCTCGCACGGCACAGAAGTGGGGCTTAAGTCGTCTCATCTTTGTCAACAACATTTTTAAGTTTCTGATGTGATTTATTTTTTGACCAATGAAAATCTGATCACTATTTGACAGACACTAATTTAACGGTTCGCCAAGAATGACTTTTTTTTCGACTTACTGAAAGTCCAAGCTTACCTGAGAATTGTACTAATTCATACATTCTGTGTGTATATGTGTAAAACTTTCATTTCTGGGTGATGCATGTATCTTAGGAAGCTTGTGAATTTTTGCAATTTTTAATTTTAAACATAACCCCCTATTGCCCTGCTTCTCCTCCTTAAAGTGTACACCTTCGAACCCCCCCTTTTTCAGCTCCTGACTTGTTCTTTTTTTCCTGAGGAGAGGGACACGGATTCTCTGATTAAGCTTGTTACTTCAATGTACATGTATAGCAAAGGAAAGTACAGGGCATCATGTTTATCATAGGTCATCGATTAATATTTTGACTTCAGCCAATTACTAGAACCAAGGATAAAGTATCATAGCTTTTACTCCTGGTTTCAGTTGATAGAAATGGATTGTTTTAAGTACAATATCTGAAATCACAGATTGATGTAAATTAAGAAAATAAATTAATCTAATTAAGAATTGTGTTTCTTACAATTTTACCAAATGTTGCTAGCTTAATGGTACTTGGACACAGATTTGAAGTTAATATTTTCTCATTTTTTCTAGCATTTTAATAGCATTTCACACAAAAATTAATTAAAAATCTTATTTCATTTAAAAGTTATTAAAACTTTAAGTTGTTTGGCGGGTTTGATTGACACATCCTTGCACTTTCACAAATTTTAACTTTATTCTTAATCCTTAGGAAAAGTGGCAATTTTGATGTGTTTAAACGAGAAATATTAAAACTTTTATCAAGAAAAATAATTTTATTCAGATTAGAAATGTTAGAAAGCAAAACACCTTTACAAGTATCGTCATTCCGAACTAAGAGATGCGTACAGAGTTTAGCAAATCGAGCACACTCGTGTTATGTACACAGTTTTTGTAAACAGCCCAAGTCAAAGTGGAAGGCAGTTCTTTAGCAGTTTTTTAACCTTAACAGTTTAGTGCTTTAGCAGTTCTTAGACAGTTTACTAGCCTTCTTCTCTCCTTAGGCAGTTTTCCTTAGCAGTCCACAGTTTAAGCAGTACTTAGCCAGTTCATTAGCAGTAACTTAGCAGTTGCTTAGCAGTTTCCTTTGCAGTATCTTAGCAGTCAATAGGAAGGTTAAGGAGAACTGCTTAAAAACTGCTTAATAACTGCTAAGGTGTTTCTTTTGTTTGCTCTACTTATATGGAAATGACTCTGAGTGACCTACATATAAATTTGAAAATTTATTAACTGCTTAAAAACTGGTAAAAAGAATGCTATAAGCACTATTCTTGTCTACTTATAAGAACATAACACCACCCATATACATGATATATGAATACAAAAATGCAAATAATTTTTGCTTCCAGGGTATTTTATTGAAAAAATGACATCACATATGGGAATTTGACTTATTAGTATTGAGATTTAGATCTAAGGTATGAATTGTAAATGAATCCTTTCATTAAGTCCATTTTCTTGCATAAACGTCAGTGGCATCTTTAGAGCTTGGTTAATTGATACGTATACAGACTTGACTAATCTACCGATCCCTCTATCAATAGCTGAATTATAAATTCATTTGCAAATATTTTAATTTATATTAAGTACTAATAATTGAAATATACAAACTAGATTATACGTTTTATAATTTAATAGTTATCCAAATGAGAAGAGGGTATGCCTTAATATTATATCACAAGCCCACACACTTACCATATTTTCTGAAGCATACTTTAATTACTGCCAACAAATCTTTTAACAATTTTCCAATATCACCAAATTCCATTGTTTGATCAGATTTTTATAATAATGATCTCCCATCTCATGGAAATTAATTCAGATACACTTGTCACTATATAAATATTAAGTTCACATCCAGTCCAATGTGGTGATCACAGATAATATATTGTATTTTCCAAAGCATATTTTACTTCTTCACTGTATGGGTATAAATATATATAATATCCCAGACCATCACAAACATCTTCACAATTTGTAATTTTGAACTGATGTGGAAAAGGCGCACAAATCTTGACTGGCTTTCCTCATTGGATACAACCCTACAGTTTCAAGCAACCAAGGGGGACACAGCAGGTTGTTAATGTAACTAGACGGCTGGATTTGCAAGTTGATGGGATAAAGAGTAGAAGCTCATATGCTCATGCTTTTTATAATATGAAGCCTCAATTTATTACAAACCATTGTATCATTTCTAGTTTGATTTTCAGTATATTTTTTTCTATTTAATTTTATTTTCTGTATAAGAACTCCTGTCTGGCCCCCAATTATTTGTGACGTTATCATCAGGAAGCATTAACAGTAACACATGGGCAGTAATGAAGACTAGTGAAAGTTAGGACCACCAAGAGTGAAAAAGTGTTGTATTACTTCTTATAAGAAATCGAAATGAATTAGTTGCACTTTTAGCAGTTTTGAGAAACTGCTTGTTTGACTGCTTAAGTTTCTTCAATACTGAACTGCTTACACAAATTCTTAGCAGTTTTTTAAGCAGTCTGTAAGCAGTTTTAAGGAATGCTAAGACTAAGACTGTTAAGAACTGCCTAAAAACTGCCTAAAAATTGCCAGACTGCCTAATAACTGTTTATAAACTGCTAAAATAAGCAGTTCATTTTGACTTGGGAGGGCTCGAGTTCTGTTACTGTTTATATTTAGAATTCACCGGGTGCGTTCAATCGTCACAGTCTGCTTACCACAACTGCACGGACTGACAATATATTGTGTGTTTGTTTTGCTTTCGAACGTGTCTACTCTGAATTTTCTGGATTATAGTATTAATATTTTTCATTTATACAAAACGAGATTGCCACTTTTTCTAAGGATTAAGAATAAAATTAAATTTGTGAGAGTGCAAGGATATGGCAATCAAACCCCCCGAAAAATTTGAAATTTCAATATCTTTTAAACGAAATAAGATTTTTAATTAATTTTTGTGTTAAATGCTATTAAAATATATGAGATCTAAGTACATATATATGAGTCGGTTGGTGTACGAGTTAGGTGTAGTCCGGCGTAATTCAATGAATATTCATGGGGCGAGAAATATTGATAACGGCAAATATCAGGAATTAAGTTTTGTCTCCGTCAACGAAATGTCTTTGAAAGAAATTGAAAGTATTTGTTAAGTATGCACATTTTATTTTCAAACATCGAAACAAGTCTACTTTCTTATTTTGACTGCAAAATCTCTGCTAATCTAGTTGTGCTGCTTTATACGCCATTGTCAAATGATGTATTATATCTGTCATCACTCTCTCGTCCGTTAATAAATCTGTGTCTGTATTCTAGAAGTAGATTTCAAAATGTCTTTAGATTGTCATAAATTTTCTGCAGAAATTTTCCCCATCATACTTAATATACATGTAAGACATATAGTTAGTGAGTTAAAGAGTAAAAACTAAAAAGA